TCCAGCAGGGAATAAACCTTTACTTGTTCCTTTGCAGCCTACGCATGCTGACGCAGCTCCCTGCTTGAACTACATCAGGACTTTATCTCTCAATGTCCAGAAAAACACAACGCATGTAACCGGAGAGAGCTTCTTCACCATACTAATTTAACCTTGCAGTTTATTTTATTAAATTAACGTTATTATGAGTTCCGTTTAATAACACCCTCCAGTATATAATTACTAAATTATCTGATAGGTTAATATAATTTTACTAGAACAAGATTCAGTTTGAGAAAACCGTATTCTGATTTTTGGGCAAGGACACCAGGATAGACTGAAGTCTCCGCTAATTTAATAATCTTTCCTGAACAGTAGGTGGCGCGCTTGCATCGCTTTTTCGGATTTCTAATGTTTTAGTTCAGGGGATTTACACAGTAAAAGGAAGAAGCAATGTTACTAGATTAAAAGTAGACCCGTGTTTTTTTAGTATTTGTTTAGTATTTAGTAATGTAGTATTTAAAGGTATGGTCAATCTTACATGACCTACAGTATGTCTTGTAAACACCAATCTAAAATGTCTGCTTCCTAATGAAAGACATATTTATGTTAAGGGGAATCGTGTTATTTATAACTCTCTGCTAATTGAAAACTTTCTGAACATCTGAACATCACCTTCCTGACAAAAAAAAATATTAACTGGACCCTTGAGAACGACCTTTTAAGAAGCGCAGACCTTTAACTGATGGTCCAACTGAACACATTTTTTGTCTTTTTTTTATTTGTAGATCTCAGCTTAATCATGCGCATTGGATGTACACTCACCGCGCTTACTTTTGTCCTTGTAATTATTGTCGTTACCTACAAGATCTTCAAGATGGACATCGTTCTCTGGTTTAGAGGATCCTTTCATCATCTTTACAGACAAACAGGTACAGGCACGCCTTATCTCATTGGTGCCCAACAACAGGGCGAGTGACGGAAAGGTGTCTCCCGAGTGGTTCAGACTGCGAAGACGTGTGTGTGTGTGTGTGTGTGTGCGTGTGTGCAGCGTGTCAGCGCAAGCCTGGTCATGTCTTTGCTGTAGAGTGACCAGGATTCACACGGTGGCAAAGCTCAACTGACTGACCGACCGACCGTGCAGGAACAGTACATTCTCGGTTTGCTCGGTCCCTTACAACTCGCAGCGTCGTATGCGAGAGCCGCCTCAAGCTCTGGATTGGCGTGAATGTATCGGGGCTCGTAGTTAATATGGGAGCGTTCAGGTGAAGCGACCCACTGCGATTCTAGCGCTGAACCCCCCCCGGGGCCAGTCTGCAGGCTTGGCTAGAGGGCGCTGTTTGCAAATATGCGCTTCCGAGACACTCCCGCCTCACGCCCCACTGCGGGGCAGCTCTTCTGCAAGACGCCGTGGAGCTCACACACGGGCCTTGAGGCGGTTCTCCGTTTCTCATGTGGTTCACAAGCGGCGCCGACCAAGGCGTGCGCGGCGCTCGTTTCCCCCAGTCGTGTAGCTGACGGGCTTTTACCTGTGCGCTGAGCCGAGAGTGAACAGTTTCCGAAATTGATTGAAGCGATTCCTCCAGTCGCAGGGTGAAATGAATGACTGACATCAAGGCCTGAGGGTAACAAATTCTGAGTCTGTCAGAGTCTTGATTTGCACATTTGTAAATATACTCATAGAGAAATGGCCCAGTGGTTGGTTATATCACGATTCTGTAATTCAATCAGATCTAATGACAGTTGTTGTGTAGCCGGTGTACTGCTCGATTAGGATACACTTCATACCTGCGATCAAAGCTGATGCCTGAAATCTGATGCTCTTTGTTTTGTCTAGACTCTGATGGAAAGGTTTATGATGCTTACATCATCTACCCAAAACTCTACAACTCGACTACCTCCACCAGTGCAGAAACATTTACTCTGCAAGCTCTGCCCCATGTTCTGGAGAGACAATGTGGATATAAACTCTTCATATTTGGAAGGGATGGTTTGCCTGGTGAAGGTAGGCTTTTTTATTGGTTTTTCTAAAAAGAGAGTTATCCGATTCTGCAAAGTCCTTTTGCTTCTGATCTTGCTGAAGTGTTTCTCCCTGCTTTGAGCTGCTGTTGCCATTGAAAGCCGAAATGAAAGTTTCCCATTGTGCTGGTACCCAGTCTAGCACATGGAAAGAACCGAGTGTTATGGCAGAAAAGTTTCAAAGGTAAAACGCAATGAGACTGCGGTTCCTTCTTGAATTGTGAAGAATGATAACGTGCGTGAGAGGGAGGGAGTTTTACCACTATAGTGCTAAAATCATCAGAAAATAACATTTGAAAACAGGCGTGGCTCCGGCTCCAGCAGGCAAAGGGACTTATCCTAGAGTGAGATAGAAAGGTGGATGTGTTGGGCAAGACACATACTGTACTATACTTCCACATTTTCCCCTCGTGCGGTTGTAGGGTTCGTAGCCCTAAGTAGTGATGTCAAAAACATTTCTACAAAAAGATAATCAGTGATGCTAAACCAATTAAAAAAAAAACCAAATATCAAATCAAATTTTTAGATCTAATCTACGTACGTGCCTTTGTTTTTATTTTTTAACAGCTGTGGTAGATGTTACCGAGAACATAAAGAAGAGCAGAAGACTCATTATCATTTACACATCCACCACCTTTGGGGACACAGACAGCAACGTGTACTTCGAGCAGCAATCTGGCATGCACAGTGCCCTGATCGAGGGGACTGTGCAGGCCATTCTGATCGAGTTAGAGGACGTCAAGAATTATTCAGACTTTCCTGAATCTATTAGGTATTTAAAGCAGAAACAGGGGGCCATAAGATGGAAAGGTGGTAGCTCCAACATATCATTTTCCCCGTTTGCAAGATTTTGGAAGCAGGTACGGTACCACATGCCAGTGAAGCACAGCCCATCCTGTACAGAGAAGACCATACTGTTAAACCTTTAGGATCACAGACTTGTTTCTGAAGTGACCGTGTTACATCAAACAGGGTGCTGCACAACCTGTACTTATTCGCTCGTACTCTACATCACATTACATTATGCGGGCACACTACACGACGTTTCCTAGGATTGTCAGCCGTAGCCTTCATTTACATCATCGCAAGAAAATCACAGCGAGTTGCAGAGAGTTGCAGCTCGCGCCCGTGACCGTCGGTTGTGTAGCGTGACACCCCCCAGCGACTCAGTCATAGCGCTCTTAACAGCCCCTAGGACTCTCCGCGACCCGCTACAATAATATCAAGCTGGTTTGATTTTCTTGTAGCGGGTCGCGAGTCGTGGGAGGGGGCTCTTGTGTCTGTGACAGTCAACAGCCAGTGAGCGCTCAGCCGGAAGTACAGTGTGGCTGCAAGGAAGGAAGGAAAGCGAGTGTTTTGGACCGTGCAGATGGAGGAGAGGCTGGTCGAACTCTGGAGCCCGCGCAGATGTCTGTTCGATATTTCGTGTTTGTTGTGTGTTGGCTCGCGTGCGGTGCTCCTCCTCTTATTGCTCCAAGTCAGTCTGCTGCCAAAATGAGGCGACCTCGCGGTTCTTTCGCGGCACAATACGAGATTTGGAACCGTGATGAAAAGTCGTGAGGGAGTCGTGCAATGAGTCACCCCCTGCGATTCCTAGTCGTGTGGTTTGACGCCCTCTAGGACAGCAAAGGCAGCGAGATTCAGCAACTGCAGTCGTTAAATCTGACACGCTCTCCGACCAAAAGTCTTGTCGAGTCCTGTAGTGTGACATCGGCTTTAGTCATTACAGTGATTAGTGAGCAGGAAGGGCTGCATCACTTTGCAATACATGGGAAGTCGAATGCAAGTTTGAGTCAACTCATAGTTCTTTCACAAAGTTCACAATTGTGTGCTTAATTCGAAATTTTATACTGTCAATGAATTTATATAGTTTCCAAAATGTAATAACTAGTCTGAGAAATTGTTACTGCAGTTCCCCTTTTAATTGAAGTTGGACTTTTACAGGGAAATACTTGAAGGTCCTTATAATGCATGTTTTTTGCCCTTTTGAAAAAGGATAGGAAATCAGTAATTAAAATAAAGATATGTGCCAAAAATCCCCAAGAAGAGAACCACACAGAACACCATAATAAGACAAAACCAGTGAGAAACTGAAAAGGGGAAATTCAGCTAATGGAAACTATTCCTTTAAAGGGTATTATGGGAGAAAATGTGAGCTTGCTAGTGCAACAACTAAAGTGTGGACGTGGATGCATTTAGCTGATTTCAACAATGTAGAGTATACCATCAGTATTTTGCAAGGTGATGTAAATGATCTTTAAAATCATGCTTCTTAGTCTTGAAAATAGGTCACTCAGGGTATAGAGTGTGGTTTTTTAATGCTGGTTCAGTTGAGAAACCCCAAACATATTGTGCAAGTTTCTGTGTGGGAAGACATTTTCTAAATTAACTCAGAGAAACCAGAGTTTCAGATGATTTCCATTGAGTTTTCCTTTGTGTTTTACTGTAATATGTACAAAAACACAAAAACATGTCTTCACCTTTGCTCATTCAAGTGTTTGAGACTTTAGGTCTCATTATTCAAATAATATTCAGAAATTTCAGTAGTAAAGAGAGAAAGACAAAAAATCTAGAAGATACCACAATGAGAAACAGGGCAATAACAGATTGATGTACTGTAATTAATAACAGAGTTGCACTTAAGTTGATCAGAAAACAACACTTACACTGTAAATAATCTGAGCACTGAAAAGACCAACTGTAGGTTTTAGGTAAGGGACTGTATTCTTGTGGTATTGATTATACCAATGATATTAATACTGATTTCCTATTTATGATCTTCACCATGTTAAAGAAAATCTTCCACATGTTTAGTAGTACATTGTTTGGAAGGTTCCAATTTGCTTAATATCCCTTTTTTTAAGGAGTAATGAACTCATTAGTAACTCCTTCCTGAGTTGAATCTTTTGTTTTATAAGAAACAGGTGCCCTCTCTTTGCTCCGCAGAAGTTCATTCTGTTTCCGGGTTCTGCCGACACTGGAGTTTGAGGGGCCCTTGAAACTAGAAATTCTTGTAAATACCCTGTGCAGAGGCATAGTGAACATGTCTGTGTTTCTCTGTAAAGTGCTGTAAATAAATAAATATCTCCTGTCTTCTTTTATGTGTCCCCCCTTCTCCGTTGGCTTTATTATTTCGCTTTACCGGAAAGCGAAGACAAATCTGTGTTTAAGTGTTCGGCTCGTTATTCCCTGACAATAGGGGTGGGCTGTTGACCTGGAAGGGGAGCAGCTGTCAGGTCCCAGTTTTCCTGTTGGAATTCCCGCCTCCTTCATTCACACCTCTTGGCCTGTTAAACAGTATTGGATCAGAGAGGTAATAGTGCCCTTCAGGCTTTGTGCCCCATTCTTCAAGGCCACCCCCCTGAAAGCAGCCCATCACAACTCAGGCATTGCCTGCTAGTGAGAGGCTCTTGACTGGGGGTGTGTAAGATCTGCCACTTCCCCTGTCAAACACCCCTGACGGGACTGGAGGACAGAGGAGCCCAGACTCTCGGCAAGAGCGATCAGCTCCAGGTAGCCTTCAAAATCCCCTGCCTGTCGGAAGGAGCTGTTTGTTATTGAGAGAACAAGCAATGGATACGCTGCTCCGTTGAGATGATGCACGGAGTAAGTAGACCTTAACGTTTGTGTTGAGTGTGGTTGAGAATGTGATATTGAATGGATTTAGTATATCATTCATTTAGCATCTTTATTTCTCTGTATTTATGCAAAACATTTTCTGTGCAATTGGTGGCCTTAATATTAATTAGGGCCACCTAAATATTATGTTTTAAGTATTATTACAGTATAAATATAAATGATTTACAGTAAATGGGTTTCCAGTCTGAACCATCACTTTGCTTCAAGGTCTACTTTTTATTTTTTCCCCCTTATTTATAGCTTACTGTACAATCGATTCCCTTAGAAATATTAGGTTTTAAATATCATTACAGTATTAATATAAAGCATAATAGGATTTAAATGCGTTTCCAGTCTGTACCATCACTTCTTACTTTTTTTCTTCTTAATCAGTAAATATAAGTTAGTGAAGATACTGTAGGGGTTTTTGCATGTCCTAGTTTTAGTAACCACTATTTTAAAGCTAGGAAAGTGATATTGTGAAGTGTTTTGTGAATAGTGTGTCACTTAATTACAGATTTGAAGCCATGACCTATAAAATAAATCAGGTCACATCTTGACCTAAATTGCTGCAACAACTCCTCTTTAGAACTGTTTCATCTTTCAGAACACAAGTGTGTGTGATTCTGATATTTCTTTAGTTAGAAATGGGAACCAAACACATTTTCATCATTCTGGAGCCTGAATTGCTTTAATGAGGGGGCTTGAAGAGAAAGGTTTGGGTCTAATCGGTGAATTTTGTGATTAAAACAATGTTAATACCAGTACGTTTTAAAGGAAATGGCTCTATGCTTTGACAAGGCGTAAACAAATGAATGAGCGTTTTCTACCTGAAATCTCAAATGAAGGCTCCTACAGTAGATGATCTAATTTCATGTTCTAAGATGCCAAAGGAGGATTCAAACCTAGTCACTACTTCAAGATCAGGACTAATCTCATGTAACTTCACCTTACTCTAAGCTTGTGAG